ATACTTCACGCATTGCGTCAAAAACAGAGCGGATTTTTTTCATCTTGATCGATCCTTCTATGTATTTCTTCATTTTTTTCCTCCTCCTTCTCCTCCCCTCTCTTTTCCTCTTCTCTATTTTCCTCCTCCCTCTAAATTTATCTTCCTCTTTTTCCGATTCTCGTTTCCGATCCCCAATACATCCTCATCCGACATACATTACCGACTCATCCGATTCGAGTCCTTCAGACCACAGGGTCAAGCAAGTTCCCGGACGATGTGCTCGTCTTTCTCCGTCCTCACATCTCGCTCCATTCCATTCCGTTCGATGCGGCAATCCGAAGCGAAGCCACCACTCACAAGTCCAGGGACCTCGGGGATCCATTGCGCGTTGTCTCTACCCGGGCCCCCTTCACCGGTCCCTGGCGCGCGTCACCTGATTCGCGACCAGGGCTGCCAGCCGGCACCAACTCCTCGACCCTCGTCGCGGCGCCCCCGGAGTGGACGCTCCGATCCGGCGCCCGTGTTTGGCATGCTGACCGGTGACCAGAGCACGACGACAAATTGCAAATTGCCGACATCCAACATCGCTCCGGACTCGGGACGACGGCCGACGACCGACGACCGACGACGCGACGTCCCCCTGATTTACCGACCGGACTAAGTGACACCCTCTCCCCCTTCCCGCGATGCAGTTTGTCGAGGTATCCCCGATGAGGCGGATTTCAGCGGGTCCCGCAAGTCCGACCCCGATTTCTTCTTGGGGGGCAGCCGCGGATCATGTGTGCACGTCGAGGAAAGAAAGTGTCATAAGCTTGCCGAGAGTAGAGCATATGAGGACCTTACCGACCAATGTCAATGTTGCTAAGATTGTGCATACTGGAAAAAAACACACATGGTTCTGGAGTATACGCAGTGACTGATACATGGGCTGCACGACACTTGCGCACACTTTTCGTACCGATAACGGTTGCGCACAAAATTCCGAATTTTCATTTGCGCACAGTTTTACCGATAACGTTTGCGCACACTGCACTATGTGGCAACGCTGCACCTACGCAACGCGAATCACCCGGACACCGGGCCCGGGTTTGTTATTGTCGGCGAGGTGCATTATCGTGTTGTGATAAGGAAGGTCCACGACAAAAGGAGGAAGAGGTGTGTCTGGAAAGGAGTAACTCAGTAACCTGCGGACCGTTGCTGTCAACACAGTGCCGAATTTTAAATTGTTTTAATGTGCAACTTTTTAACGTGTTTTAGCTCGAGTTTTAAACAGTTTTAATGATAATAATCGTTTTTAATAATCGTGAGTTGTTTGACAGCATATTTTAAACCGTTTTTATTCCTTTATTCGCAAGTGTGTGTGAGTGTATTTCAGTTAAAATTTAATAAAATGAGTTCTGATACGGGCTTTCAGATAATGAGAAGCAATAAAGGCAAACCAATGATACTAGTCGAAGGCTATAAATTCCGACAATTTCGCGTTAAAAAAAAAAATATACATTGGCGGTGTTCGAAAAAAGAGTGCCGGGCTACGATCAAAACAGATGTACCGATGACTACTTTGCTTGAAACGACCAACAAGGAACACAGACCGCAACATGCTCCACCAAGTGATAAAGAAATCGAGCTGCAGCTTATAAGAACCAGTCTGAAGAGAAAAGCAACCGAAAATCTAAATGAACCACCATTGAAATTGATACGCCATGAGGTTGAGAATTCAAAAAAGGTAACATTTTCTGACCTACCGTCCCTTTCACAGTCCAGTTATCGCGCTAGAAAAAAATTGAAGAAACCCGTACCAAAGAACATTGATGGGGCTTTGGACGGGATGGCCAGTACGGTAACCTCTTCCGATGAAAAGATTATTAGAGTTGATAAAAAACATCAGATTGTCGCCGTAACATGTAAAGAAAACCTGCAATTTTTGGTCGACTTCGATGATGTTATTTTGGGAGACGGAACATTCACTTATGCTCCCAAGCATTTCAAACAAACTTATACAATCCACGTGTTCCATCGTGGCTTTTATTTGCATGTTGCCACGTTCTTCCTCCCCTCAAAAGCGGCAGAAACTTACTCAGCTATGTGGGATTTATTGAAACAAATGTGTGTTAAACACACTGGTAAAGAATTGAACGTTAAACTTCTCCTACTTGACTTCGAATCCTCCGCTCACAAAGCCGCTAAAGTAGCTTTCCCTAATGCAACGATTAGGGGCTGCAGATTTCATCTGGGGCAAAGCTGGTGGCGGCGGATACAGAAATATCCAGTGCTACGATATGCATTCACTCGGTCAGAAAAAAAAGGAGAGCAGTTAGAGATTCAATCATGGTTACAGCTATTCTTCTCTTTGTCTTATCTGCCCGCCAATGATGTCCCTGCTGCATTTGAGCAGTTGGCCAGTGCTACTCCTCATGTAAGTGGCGCCTCTGCATTTGTTGCTTACATTCGAAAAAATTACATAAACTCGAAGATGTTCCCCCCTCATCTGTGGGCCAGCCCTCTTACACAAGATTCTTGCACAACGACTAATGGGGTTGAGGGCTTCAATAGTAAACTTCAAGGCGAGTTTTATTACCACCATCCAAGTGTGTACGAAGCAACTGACCAAGTTTTTAAGGCCCAGACTATTGTTTCTTTAAAAATAAAATCCGTACGGAATGGCGAGTTGTTCAATAAACGCAAGGCTCAACAAACGAAAGATGATGAAGTTATTGTGCTGACCAGTGCTTTTCAAAGTAAAGACCTCGATATAATGGAGTTCCTTGAAATGATCCGTGATGTGAAATATGCGAAGCAAGATGCATCAGACTCAAAAAATGACTCGGGAGCTGAAAATGACTCCTTCAATGAAGACGATCTGGACGAAGAAATTTCCTTTCATGAACCACCCACCAGCCATCCTGAGAATACTATTGGCTCCAGTTCAGACTCCTTCAATGAAGACGATCTGGACGAAGAAATTTCCTTTCATGAACCACCCACCAGCCATCCTGAGAATACTATTGGCTCCAGTTCAGACGACTCTGACGATGGCATTTTCTTCCGGCGAGAGTATTTCCTTTCATGAACCACCCACCAGCCATTTTAACTATTTTTTACATAATTCATGTGGAAATAAGCACCTCACACACACTCTCAAACTCACTCACTTCTGTTTCATCACTCGTTTACTCGCCCCCTCTGTTCGGTTTTAAACAATGCGTGCGTATAAATATGCTCCGTATAATGCAGCGTTGCCACATAGTGCAGTGTGCGCAAACGTTATCGGTAAAACTGTGCGCAAATGAAAATTCGGAATTTTGTGCGCAAACGTTATCGGTACGAAAAGTGTGCGCAAACGTCGTGCACCGCCAGACCCTTGAAAACATCGACAAGAAAAAATACTCTTGATTCAATCAGATTTTTGCTTGAATCAAAACGAAATCCGCTTAAATTAAGAGGCTTGGTTCTTGATTTAAGCTAGATTCTGATTGAATCAAGAGTATTTTTTCTTGTCGATTTTTTTAAGAGTCTAGACTCTAGATCCAATGTGATTTTTTGTCCAGTGCATCCTCTTAACGATTTAGGTCGGAAGAATTTCACGCTCATTTCTGCACTTTGACTTAAAGCTCCTCTCCCTTAAAAGTGTCATCGCACAAACATAATGAATTTGACATGCGTGTATGCCGTTTGGTCGGAGAGGCTCTCATATGAAGATCTGCATCGACAAAAATTTAAAGAGGGGGCCGTATACTGGGGACGGTTAAAGGAACGCTCTATACGCTATAACTTTTTCAATTTTTTAGTTTACATGTTCTGGTTTCGACTGTTGTTCATCGAGGGGAAAAACTTTGGAGGGGAAGTCACGACCCCCCCCCCCCCCCCCGACCCCTAGGAGGGGCCAGAGACGGGCACGGTACACCCTCCCAAAATATCAACATTTTCAAGTACGGATCCTCCACGTGGAACACACGTTACACGTGGGTGAATTCAAAAGACCGTCTAAACTGGTGTCTCCAGCTGTTTTAATCGTCATAATCTGGGGAACATGGGTAGATCAAATTTTTTTCTCATTTTCCTCACTATTGCTGACTATTAAATGCTATTTTTCACTTTATTTGGGCTGAAATAAAAATGTAGGAGAACTTTGAATGTGCAAATTGCCCACATTTGTCCCAAAATTGCGTGTCCCCCGTGCCTGGTTCTTGACTTTAAATCGATATTACAGCATAACTAGAGTGATTACTTGAGAAAACATTATTGGACATTAAAGGTAATGCTTTTGAATTTGAGAAAAAAATTGGTCAATTTTTTTTTGCTCCGTCAATAACTTTTTCACACGCTAGAATCTTTGCCCCCAGCAACAGTCAGGAGAGACATGGCAACGATGTAACAAGCTCTAAATGATTGCCGTAACGTTGAGGTTTTTCCAAAAACGACTTTTTTTGTTTCGATTGAATAGTTCACACGTCACAGATTGCAAAAATTCTGAAATTCGCAAATTTGTGAGCAAGATTAACGCCATTAATGANATGACTCAACCCCCAACCTGGAGGACCAGGGTTTGATTTCGGAGTTGCCTCTCCTAGACAGGTTGCTTTCACTTCAGCTCAGAGCCCTGTCTGCCCTTCTAGCAGGTGGTTCATACGCCCAGAGGCCGGTGACCATCTCCACTGCCCCCTTTGAGGCAGGGGCTACCAGCTGGGGTCCGCAGGATTGCTAAACCTGTGACAACAGTCCCCCATACGGCCATTAATGATGCCGAACAAAATGCAATACACGACAACTATCAAGACACACACTATTTGGATGAATCTGGACACAAAGGATGAATTTTTTCTTAATTTTTTTAGCTCTGCAAGATATGAAAGGGTTACATTTTTTCAATCATGCTTTAATTCAGTGCTCGACGATGCGTTTATGATAATTGTGTTCGATGTTCAATTTAAAGTATTGTATGTCACCTCTGACTTTGGGAAATCAGGCAAAATTAGAGCAAATTACGAGAAGTGATACACTTGGCGGTGGAAATTCGGGTTTAAGCCCAACCATTCAGCTCGACGAACTATATTTCCTAGTTCTACACCTAATGATAGTCAAAATAAAGTTTGGCTTGCCCAAAAATTTACAAAAACATTTTGGGATGAAATAGAACTTGGAATTGGACCCTTATTTGAATTCACCCACGTATCGAGAGTTTCTTTTGCCCACTCATGTAGGAACGAATAATTAAATTAGAATTGATGGATAAAAATTCCTCCCTTTTAATGCATGTTGATACTCATTTCGGTTTAACCAAACATTTCTAACTTCGCGTCCATTTTTCGATGAATTTCCCGTGAAAATTGTGATAACATAGCTGAGAATGGGCCTACACTGAAAACAATTTCTCGGAATTTTTACGAAGGTCCGTTGGTACCTTTACCATCTCACTTTTTTTACCAATTATTGGTAATTTTACCAAGACAGACTGGTAGCTTACCTAAAAACCGGTATTCTTACTGTTTTTTCCAGGTAAGAATGCCACTTTTATTGGTAATCAATTCCCGGTAACTTTGCCATTTTATCTCGGTAATTCTACCACAATCGATAAAAAATATTGGCGTTTTTACCAAGGTCCAGTAAAATTACCGAGAAAGTTCAATAATTTTACCGAGATTTCTCAGTAAAATTACCACTTCCATAAATGGTAATTTTACCAAGAAAAAACTGGGATCAAATAGAACCCTGAATTCTTGGTAATTTTACCCTTTTCTTAGTAAATACACCGAGATTTTTTTTCAGTGTACGGTGCTTCACTGCTTCCTCACCTATTAGGACTTTCAAACTTTCTTGCTGTTATGTATTTGCCGCGAGGAGTCAACTACGCACCTCGCGGAGCTTCTGTCGCGAGCAAAGATTCCAGCTTCCACCTCGAATTTTTGCGTGTCTGAATATAGAATGGTCTCATCAACTTGGCTCCGATGTGTTCGAGCACATCAGCGATCGCCTGTGCGTCATTCCTTTTTCGCAGCTTTTCCTCGGCCTTCTCCCCTCCCTCCCGTTCATCGTCGGGAGCTTCAAAAATGATCCCCCTCCCCTCATCCATAAAAGCGCGAGGATAAGATAGTTTGTCCTCCGTAGCTTCTTTACCTCGAAGCCTTTAGGCTGGAGACATCCTTAAGATTTTTCAGTTCCTCACCGCGTACGCTGCTTTACCTCTCGCTTTGGGCTGTCTGAGCTTGTGCTTTCATGTTGCGTCATTCGCGCTCAAATATTCTACCTTCAAAGCACCCTTTTACTGCCTCGAAAAAGATAAACTACAAACGAGAGAAACGTTTGTAAACTGCAGGCTTCAAAGACATCACGCTGTGGTGGATCGAAGTTCAGGTTTTTAGAGCCAATTAATGTAAGGGTCAACGTTGGTAAATATACGAGAGGCTACCTTTCTCAATGGGTTGATTTTTGAAATTGACATGACAAAGCGATTAGACAAAGAAGACATAGTGAGTATGGAGGGATCTTATTGGTTGAAATTGGTGGTTCCTGTAGACTAAGGGAGAAAATGATGGAGTGCGACCATGAGGTCTCTCCTGGGTCGCCGCTAGTCAGAACCTACCTCTTTTCTTCATTGCAATCAGGATGCTACCTCTCATTGGGTTGATTGTTGAAATTGATGGACAAAGCGATAGATGAAGAAGATATAGGGAGTATGAAGCGATCCTATTCGTTGAAATGGGTGGTTCCTGTATGGACTATGGGAAAAAATGATAGACTAACTATCGGGTCTCTCGTGGGTTGTCGCTAGTTAGTCTATTACCTACCTCCTTTGTCCATTGCACCACTCGCTAACACCAATAGGGTCCCTCCAAACCTCTTTTGTCTTTTTAAAGACGAAAACAAAATATTTTTGATAGACAAAGCTATAGAGCTTTCTCTAAAAATTTCAATAACTTGCCCTTGGAAAAAAAATAAACACATTGGATCTAGAGTCCAGACTCTTGAAAAATCGACAAGAAAAAATACTCTTGATTCAATCGGATTTTTGCTTAAATCAAGAACCAAGCCTCTTTATTATAGTGGATTTCCTTTTGATCTAAGCAAAAATCCGATTGAATCAAGAGTATTTTTTCTTGTCAATGTTTTAAAGAGTCTGGACTCTAGATCCAATGCGTTTTTTTTTTCCAGAGCTCTCAGGCAGAAGAACGTAAAGAACTAGCTGCATTCTTTGGCTGCATTTCACCGTGACGAAATTTCCCCAGTGCATTGAACTTTTACCATTTTCGTCCCCCTTAAACTTTGTGTTCGAGGTCAAAATATATGCCTTCAAACCATCTGCCTCATGGATTTCCAACACCTTCTGGCAAGACTGATCCACCCTGAGGTGTCAAAACACACGAACCCGAACCTGACGCACAAGGAGCTCGTTGCCTCGGACTAGGAGGCCGCCCTCTCGGATCCTCGAACGAATCGCGGACTGTAATTTGCTTATGATCTCTAATTTTACAGGAATCAGGGAGCAACCGAAGGGCGTCCCGCTGAAGGATGAGGAGGGGAGGGGTATAATTACACCTTTCTTAAGGTTGACGGACAGTGAAGTGCGGGGCACTGGTGCCAGGTGGCCGTAAGAGTAGAGCTGGAAACGGACCACGTTTCATGGATGGAGATCAAGAACCATGCTGTCTTAATGAGGGAAAACGCCGTATGAGCCTCTGAACGTTGCCAAATTTATTTTGATACAATATGAGTTCTCTGTAAAATTTGGTTATATTTTTTTACAAATTTTTTGAGAGTTTCACTCGCGATCTGATCGCCAGGAAAAGAGAATTTCAAGCGCTTTCATACATTTTCGCTAAGATAAATAATTTATCGTGAGAAATTTGACAACATTCGATTGTGCATAGGTGTTTTAGCCCAGCACAGCAGCATATAACACATAATTTCTTCTGAAGAATTTCAGAATTCAGTTCAGAAGTTAGTAGTGAGTGGTACGACACTAAAGTAATTTTAGTGTCGTATGATTATTTAATTTTGATAGTTAGGCTGGAGCTTTTTTGACGAATTTTCAGTACCAGAAGAAGAGAATCATTTTTTCCTCCCCTTTTTTCCCAAACTATAC